AGCTAACTTTTATTAGAGATGTCATATTGACACATCTGTGAAAACCTGAATCTGAGAGCTTCTGGGTTTTCCACACCCAAAAGAAAGTTCAAGAGCTTGCCCCTCTCCCACATGTCTACCACACATCCAATCAATTGCTGTCCAGAACAGAAGATACCTCCTCATTCTTCTCCACACAGCTGCAAGGCCTCATGGCCTTGATTTTCTATAAAGAATTTTATTGTGACTACATATCTTCTTCTCTCTATGAAATCCCCCCTCCTAATTTCCCACAGTAGGATTTGTGGTAGGCCTGAAGCCTGAAGGTAGAAATATGGCTTCCAGGTCTGAGAGGTCTGTATTGAAACATGGGGCCCTGGATGTGAGATGGGTCCAGTTTCTTGGCTATGTTGAATGGCTTATTGTGGCTTTTATTATTTACTTTTCCAGCTGTTATGAGTTTTACGTTTTTATATATGTTTATTATTTTTTAATATTGCTAGCTGCCAAAGTCATGTGTTTGAGATGGGTGACTGTATACACCTAATAAATAAACAAATCTCTAGATTTTCTTCATCCAGAAACTATTCTATTATGTCAAGCTTGTCTTCAGATCACAAGAAGATTAGTTTCTTTCCCAGAGGATGATTGAACCCAAGTTTCTCTGTGACTGGGTACAGCAAAATTGGGGTATATCCTCCTGTTTCCGTTGACCATCCTAACTCCTCTTGCAATTTGCCTTTCTCTTTGTCCTGATTTATAGTACTACTTCGTCATTTTCTTCTTCCCATACCCTAGCTTTCCTTTGCTTTTGCTCCTTTCTCCCCACTCTTCTAGTTTTCTCTTTCCCTTTCTTCCCTTTTGTTTTCCTTACAATGCCCCTCACATTCCCAACATATAGATTTGTCAGTGGACTCACAGAGACTCCTCATGAAGGAAATTTAGAAAACCATCATATGTCTACCATGCCCTAAAGTGCCCAGGGGAAAATATGACAACTGCTATTCCTGGTGAATCCTGATAACCACTGGACTTGCAGAGAGCTTGAAACAATTGCTTTTATTCTATGACCAACTGAATCACTCCACTGAAGCAAATGATGAATCAAAGGACAGATGAGATTTCAAAGAATGTTGTAGATTTTTGAACCATGACAGATTCTGTGGTTTTTTGTAACAGCCTCTGGCGTTATTACAGGCAATGCAATGCTGCAACTTTATTTGTTTATATGGAGAATGCTGTAAGTAGGGACTGAATCATGTGATGGGCATTCTGACACTGACCAGCCAATCTATGCAATTTATCACTTTAATAAATTATCTGCCTCTCACACATCTTCTAGATGGCAAGCTAACATTACTTACTATGGGCTTCATTCACTTTCTCAGGTCTTGCCTTATAACACCTAGTAAAACACCTGGGAAATTATTCTTCCATACAGATGTTGTCATATCAATATGATTTAGTTCTCTTGAACATAGGCAAATTTTCTTATACTGCCTGTAAATTTAGGCACACCTTGATTCCCACCATTGAACCCACCACCAATTCTGTCTAGTCTATTCTCACACAATTGGTTTTAAGTATTTCTTGGCTCTGAATTCCACTGATTCTGTCTCAATAGAAATTGGAATCATAGTAAAGTTTAAAAATCTTGCTTGGTTTCTATCATACAGTGACAGCAGCAAGTTCTCTCTTCCTCTGCCTCAAATTCTTTTATTTCAAGGGTTATGACCAGATGCTTTTTCCTAGAGACTTTCTATATTTGATTTATTAGTACTGTCATCCAAAATACTTAAACTGTACAAGGGATGTTTCCTTTAGCATAGGTTTCAGTCAGTACATGCAATAAGCATTGGCCTGGTAACTACAATACTCATTGTTGAGACATCAGAGCTGCCCCAATCATAGAGAGTTTAAAAAGTTTGAGGTAAGCATATATTCTGGACTGATTAGTGTTTGGTGTAGAGCAGATATTTTGAGTCCTGAAAGCTGAGATGAACTTCCAGTTGGCAACACTAGCAGAGGAATATGATATTCCAGGAATGAGTGGGCAAGTAAGAATTTTATTATAGTCACAGATCAGAGTTACAAATGAAATATATTAAAAAATAAAGACTAGACTAGACTAGACTACCAGACTAGACTAGACTAGACAATTAGACTAGACTAGACTAGACTAATAAATTCTTTGTTAGATGGGCAGACTTCTGTAAAGTGACAGAAAGCTTATTATATAAGACACTGCACAGATATTCCCATTATTAGGAATAATAATTTACCTATATAAATTTATTTCAAGAGTATATGCACTAATATGGTTGTTTATCCCAAAATAAGTAATGATTTGTGGTAGAAGGTGGTGTTACCTCAGGGTAGCTGCTCATAAATATCTATCAAATGAAATATAAAAAAACCTAAGTGGAATACAAATGGAAAACTGCTGCTGAAGCCATCTAACGGTATCTGAAATGAACAACTCACACTTGCATATGGCCCAAATAGCATGTTAAGCATTTATTTTATTAGCCTTGATATAGAACTACGTTAATTAGTTGTAAAACTGCTGTGCCATGCTAAACATATAATCTTTTAATGATATAACTTTTTTTTTGCCTGATCTAAGCTGTAACAGAGTTGTGTTTGATTAAAAAGAAGGCCTTGCCTTGGAGATTGATTTAGAGATAAATACTCCATGTTTAAGACTCCAGAAACCCATATGTCCCAAGGGGAATAGTTTAAAAAATTCCAAGGCCATCCATAAACTCTTAAGCTAATGGCTTAATTATGAAGGCATATGTGCAAGGGCAATCCTTCAAGGACAATTTCTCACAAACCTTTAAAGTTCGGGCCACTTTTTCTGGGCCAGCCCCCTTCCCCGTAGCATGCTTATTTGTTACGATGTTGTATATTACTGTGTGATCCTGTTTCTGCGGCCTTGACCGAGTAATTAATAGAGAATATTTCCTGTGATGATGTTACCTAGCCTGGCAATGACACAAATGCAAGAAAACGACCAAGCTCAGAGAACATTAAGGATCCAACAGCTAAACTGCTATATTCTCTAGTATGAGAATATTTCCAGCAGGCCAGAAATCTAGACCCAATTGAATACTGCAGATAATCTGGTCTTTCCCACCAAGGATCAAATTTGTTATGCCAACTTTCCTTATACTCCCAAGATAGCAAAGTTATACTAATGCTACAGCTTTAATCAATACTCAACCTTTCCAAGACCGAGTGGCTGTGGCTTCCGGTGTCCCAATATAGCCAGCTGGTGCCATCGCTGGTTATTGGGGGCGAATCACTGGCCCCCACGGAGAGGGCTCGCAACTTGGGCATCCTCCTGGATGCACTGCTGTCTTTAGAAGAGCATATGATGGCCGTGACCAGGGGGGCTTTTTATCAGGTCCGCCTGATACGACAGTTGCGTCCCTTTCTGGATCGGGACTCCCTACGCACGGTCACTCAGGCACTCATCACTTCCCACCTGGACTACTGCAATGCTCTCTACATGGGGCTCCCCTTGGGGTGCACCCGGAGGCTCCAGTTGGTCCAGAATGCGGCCGTGCGGGGGATTATGGGAGCGACGGGGCGCTCCCATGTGACACCTCTCCTGCGCAAGCTGCACTGGCTTCCAGTGGTCTTCCGGGTGCGCTTCAAGGTGTTGGTTACCACCTTTAAAGCGCTCCATGGCTTAGGGCCGGGGTATCTACAAGACCGCCTTCTGCCGCCAATAGCCTCCCATCGGCCGGTTCGCTCGCACAGAGAGGGCCTCCTCAGGGTGCCGTTGGCCAGACAATATTGGCTGGTGACCCCCAGGGGGAGAGCCTTCTCTGTGGCGGCACCTGCCCTCTGGAACGACCTACCCCCAGAGTTACGCACGATACCAGACTCCGGACTTTTCGTCGGGCCCTGAAAACACATCTATTTCATCTAGCCGGGCTGGCTTGATCCTATCTTTTCAGTTTTAATTTGAAATTGGTTTTAACTGGGTTGTTTTAAATTGAGGGCTGAAATTATTTAATGTCTTTTAAACTGCTTTTAAATTTTATATGTTATGTTTTATCTCGGCTGTTCACCGCCCTGAGTCCTTGGAGAAGGACTTGGAAAAATCAAATAAATAAATACTCATTCTTCTGATTTCTGCCCCAATAGACCTAGTTTTACCATGGTGTCCTATCCAGCTTAGTATCCCAGTCAAGCCAATGTGGGTCAAAGTCCTTCAAAACTGTTCTGCCCCAGCAAAAACCATCAAAGCCAACCCTCTTGATATCCCGCCACTCCCAAACATCAGAGGGAGCACTCCACAAGAGCATGTCCTTAGGTACATTTGAACATCATGCCAAGCTTGATGTTGCAGAAAAGCAAGAGGAAAATAATGTTTTACTGCTTATAGTTTTTGAAAAATTTTATTTCTGTAAGTTGAAGGAGAAACATTTTGCATTGATGCAGAACAATTTGGGCTCTATGCTGAACAATTTTGATGCTGCTTTTCTGTCTTTCCCTCTTGACTTAAAAAAAAAAGATTCAGGTTGAATACATCAAAAACATAAAATTCAGCGCAGTGCTTGAAGGTATCCTGTTAAATCTGGGGATAATTAATGTTCTCTAAATACTCTACCATTCCTATTTTTTATTGTATTCTGTCAAAAATAAAGAAGCAGATACAGATATGTCAGAAGTTTCCATTATAACCCATGGATAAAACATGTTCTGAGTTAATTTTAAATTTCTAATGGCTTGAATAATTTGCCTCAACTCTCTTATCACACAATCATATCCAGTAATTCCCTCTTTCAGTACTGAATGTCCAATTCAAACTGAGTCACCAATGCTGATTTGAACAGGCCTAATTACCATACAACAACATTTATTTCATTTTATATGTTTTTTATATATGAATAAATGTCAAAGCATAAATCATTTAAAGGACCTATAAAAATATAAACAACATAGGCATGTGAACAGACAATATCTGGAGAACAAGGGTTGGTTTTCAAAGAAACAAATAGACATACCTGTTGGGAAGAAGTCGTTCATTTTCTTCTTGTAAATTTTGTAGTCAACTTCCAAAAATACACAAAAAATGACACGGTCCATCTGAAGGGGAAAAAAGAGATTATCTTACCAAGGTGTTATTTTGGCCTTTAAATATCATCATCATCATTAAATGTAACACTTAGTTATAACTTTTGATGGATATGTTTGCATAGGTTCATACCATAGTAGTCCAAACATCCCAAACAGCACACAAAGATTTATTGTTTGGGTCAAAGGGATCATTTCAAGTAGCAGTATGAAATTTAGGGAGCTGTTTTTCCATTTATGCTAACTCGGTATGCAATACTGGAAACATCTGTTTCTGGAACTGCCATGTACACTGATTAAATAAATAAGTGAAAACAAACTTGCCTTCATAAGGCCAATTCCATGTAGAGTTGCTTTTCAACAGATAGCTGGTTAGGAAATCCAGCTTGAACATTTTGGCTCGAATATTAATCTACCTGCTTATCATAATTTTAAAATGCATGGATGGGTCCTAAAACAGCTGTCTCTCAGGGATTTGGGTTAAAGAAATGGAACCTCCATTCAAGGTCACTGGAGATGTTTCTGCAGAACTGTTTACTATTCTGGAAAGACTTTTGAAAACCTTCTATACTGTCCTTAATTATCTAAGCCTACCTGCTTTTAAACTAGTGATGGTTAAACAAAGTCAAAAAGAGAGAGTAAGGCAGCCAGATGGCAGCCAGAATAAGGAGTAAATAAAACAGTTCATAAAGAGGAAATTCTCAAGTAAAGCCAAGCATGTAAAAAAAAGCACAAACTGTATACAATAATTAGCACTTAACAAGAATATTTTGGCAAGCAATTCTGTGTCAAAAAGTTTTACTCCAAGGATTCACTGAAAAATAAAGGAGGGGATCAAATTAAACTGTATTTACATATTAAATGTTTAAACCACCAGTTATCAGAATCTTATAGTGGTTTACCATAAAAGCATAAAATCAGAGTTAATAAACATTAAATATTCCGTCAAAACCATAATCAATTAAAAGATTGTTTTTGAATTGTTTTGATTGACTGAATGATTGATTGAATGATTGGACAGCCATTTGTCTGGAATTGTACAGTGTCTCCTACTTAAGCAGGGGTTGGACTAGAAGACCTCTTAAGTGTCAGGCCTGGAAGCCATCTTTTACATTGCACCTTGAGGCCTGCCACATTTTCTACTGTGGGAAAATGGGAGGGGGGATTGTATGGAGTATGGGAGATATATAGTCAAAATAACATTCCTTTCTCAGAGAGTCAAGGATGCCTTGCCCTGGCACCTGGAGTTGGATGACTGGGAGGTGTCTCTAGTTTGGACGGTGTATGATTGGGTCATGTGATGGACATGTGGGTGCTGGGCAGGGATTTAAACTTTCACTTGGGTAGGAAAACCTGGAAACTTTCAGATTCGGGTTTTCCCAGATGTGCCAATATGACATCTCTAATAAAATGGAACTTTGAGGAATCTCGAGCCTCGGAGTCTTCTTTCGTTGGGGGTGTTACTTGGAACTCTGACACTAAGGTCCCTTCCAACTCTGTTATTCTGTGTACAAAGAGGTTAATCATTTCAATTTGATGGACAATTCTAGAGAAGGCTTGAGTCTAGGTCCACCAATCTGAAGATTAACTTCTTCAGAGGATCTGAATGAATAGAGTTAGGAGGGAATTTGTTAGGAAATGATTCTACCTAACTTGTTGGTTTGGCAATATATAAACCATCAATATAGCTTTAAGACTGCTGTGTTACTGTATTGCATCATACTGTGTCCTGATTGGTTAGCTCTGTAGCCAATGTCCTTAAAAGGAAGCTAGAAACCTGGTTTGTTTCTCTTTGATGCTTTTTGCTGTGTTTGCTACTGTTTGCAACTGTTTATCGTGTATGACTACAACGACTGGTAAGAAGACATTGTTATTGGATTATCCCCGGACTATTGTTTAACCATCTACTGCTTTATATGTGAATGACCTGGACTGTTTATTGGACTGTGCCTTATTACTATTTCCTGAAAGTAAACACAACTCAGTATATCTCTGTGTTAGCTGAGTTATTTCCTAACTACTCACAATCACTTTTCATGTGTACACCCTTGCTAATCAAGGGTTGCTCTGCAAATTCCTCAACAGAATTATCTTGAACAAACTGTTTACTCATTAACCTGGAGCCAAGCTTTAAAGGTAGCTCATTCAGATATGCACTCACAATCAGTGTGATGCTTTCCAAATAGGTGCAAAGTAATTTTTTTTGGGGGGGGGCTCACATACACCAATCTGGTTGCTAAATGTCACATTAAGTGAGTTTTCTAAATAAGATACAAATGTAGGTTCACAGAGAGCATATTCCTGTAGGTAACAATAGAAGCTAGCAGATGTACACAACTGTTTCACATGACATGCTGTTTCACTCTGAGAAACTTAAGATCAAAATTTAGAAGCATTTCTAGGTTATTTTGGGGGAATGAAACCCCATCTAGAAACCCCTTGTATCACTTTTCTGTAATAATATCCCCCTCCCACTGAACATTTCCATCTTGCAATATTTAGCTTCAATTTATTCTCTTCATTAGCTGACATGCAGGGAAGTTGCATCACCATGGAGATCCTTGGACTGACTATCTAGCTGAATTTTACAACTTTGGCAAAGATCTCTGTATAGAAAATATAAGATCTATTTCTTAATAAGGACTAACGTTTTTTTAATCTTATTCTTCATTATACTTTATTTGCTATTTGAAATAAAACATTGAAACTTATTCTGGGATTCTGAATTTCCTTCTCTTTGAAAGAAAGCCATTTATTTTGCCAAATAATGCTCAAATAAATAAATACAGAACGTATCAAAAGTCAATCACAATGTGTTTTATTAATTTTAAGCTATACAATAATGGTTACCTGGAAACAAGAGTCAAAGATTTGTTGATGAGTTTCACCCACTGTATAAAAATAAATTGTCATTCCTCTCTATATGTCTATGCCCACAGCTGACTTGTCAGTATGCTATTCATTGACACAGTGTGCCTATACATAGAGATGATAATGTTCTTCCACACTTATATATTTCATCTGAAACTGATCTATCCTTATCCTTATCCTTATCAATCCTGCTTCAATGAGATTCAACTGACGGCCAAAACCCCATTATTTCAAGATGCTAAGAAACATCAACAAAGTATGTTACTGGATCTGTGATCCTCCCCACCTTATAGGTAGTCCTTGCTTAATAACCAATCCTTTGCAACCATTCAAAGTCGGAGCAAACCTCTCTTGAGCTACTTACGACCCAATTTCAAAGTTCCGATGGCTACATGGACACACACACAAACATACAGAGACACATGATCACACTGTGGGCACTTGGCAACTGGCTCACATATTCAGGGTTGTTTGCAGCATCCTTTAGTCAGTTGATCACAATTTTTGGCTTTTTTTTCCTTTGATAGTTTCCGGCATTTGTTTGATTTCTGGCAAAAAATGCTCATTGGGAAAAACAGGTTTGCTTAACAACTACTGCATTGGCTTAAGAATGTTTGCTTTGCAGCTAATGCAAAAAGGTGGTGAAACTGGGTGAGGTCACATGGTTACCTGCTTAATGTCCATCATGACTTTCAACAATAATTCTGGGCTCAATGATGAGTTTAGGTCAGGGGTGGACAAATGTGGCTCTTTTACAACCTGTGGACTTCAACTCCCAGAATTCCTGATTCTGGGAGTTGAAGTCCACAGGCTGTAAAAGAGCCACATTTGCCCATCCCTAGTTTAGGTCAACTGTCAACCTGTAGAGAGCTCTTATGTGGATCTCATCTCATGATGCCCAATGTCTGGATAATTGATTCATATTGTTGGAACGCTTTTATTATATGAACAGGTCACATTGGAATTAGGTAGCAAGATTCCTGATTAGACAGCAATGGGTTAGAAGGAAGTATCTATCTCTAATCTCATCACACATGACCTCCTTTGCAAAGTTTCTTGGATTCTTTCCTCCAAAACAATACCAAACTTATTTCTTTTTTCTTGCCGTTCTCATAACTCCTCCTGTTACTTTGCATAATATCATAGTTGCTATGTCTCTCCTTTCCACACTCCCACGTCGATGTTATCTAGTCTTCGCAGTTGAACATGTTGTGTTTGCGTTTTACCTCCTAGGGAAGCATTTTTCTTTGCTACTAACATTTACTTTTCCAAATGATGTTTTTAGTCATTCATTGAATTCTAATATTTTTTCAACAAAACATGTAGAAGACTCCACACAGACACATTCACGTTTTATAAACCGCACTGGCCACTTATATACAGATATTTGGTGAGTCAGTATCAGCTTTTTTCACAATTTTCATTTCCAGAGTTATAGGGAAACTTTTTTTTTTAAGAATAAAACTTTTAAAATGGCCTTTGCATATATAATCTATATATGAATTAATTCCTTCCAAATGTGTGAAGAAAGCATCCTATTTTTAAGCATGCATAAGATGCTGTGATGACAGCTCGGATACTGTGTTTATCTGATTGAATGGCATGTGTTGGCAGATAATAAATTGAAATTAAACTATATTCCTGCATCTTGCCAGTCAGGGAATGTTTTATCCAAGCGAGCCTGATAAACTAGGTTGGCCTTAGACTCTTGCTCTTTATCACTTCTGTTCCAAAACAAAGGACCTAAGTGGTCATAGGAGGAGAATCACTTGGACGGTACCTTAAAAATAGACCAACAGGATTCTTTGTACTGGATTTTGTGATGTACAGCTTATTCCACAAATAAAATCTTTCTGTTCCTGAGCTTTTGAAATGCCACATTGATTAGATGCTTCGTGCTCTCTCCTTTACAGAAGAGAGTACAAGAATACAGAAATACTAATTTTGACTAGGCTCATCAACCAGCTATAAGGGTCTCATTGCAATCTCTACAGCCAAGGAAAAGAGAGCCATTCATTTTGGGGAAGCTTAAAGAAGCTAAACCACGAAGGCATTATTCTTGACTGACAGCTCTCATTTGGAGTTCACTATTAAAAGTGTGTTTCCTATCTCCTGTTCCCCTTTCCCACTTTCTCTGCAAC